TTTGATAAAGAATATCTCTTTGGTTTTGAGACTTTAGTCTTTGCAACTTCAGGGATCTTATCTATGCACAATCAGCTTGTAACACTCCAAAGAGAAAGGAAAACTTGAAATCGCATCATATGACCCCTTTAAAACTTTCAAATCTTACACAAAGTATTAAAATGATTAAAAATGTTGATAACTAAAAAAAAAAAAACTACTACTACTAATAAAAACCCCAAAATCTAAACTAGGTACAAGGCACAAAATTATTAAAACATGAACAAAATTAAAATTAAAAAGAAAACTGAAAATATGAAAATAAAAGCTAATATTTATAAATAATAGCATAGAAATATTACTAAAGTAACACTGCTGATCAAATGTATACTTTGAATGTACAGTAAATCGTTTTGAATAAAAACATCTGGCACATGCTTGAATTTAAATGTCAACAAAATAACTATTTAAAAAAATGTAAATAAAGTGTTCAGACTCTTTAAATATATAATTTTCTGCAGTGACTCTGAAATACAAAACCTTTCTTTCTCTTCTAGAATAAAGAGAACCTAGGCCTTATGGAAAGACTCACCAGTTTGTCTAATGCACGTGCTCAAGGACTAGAAAAGATCCAGGTTCTGGAGGCGGAGCTTGGAAAGCTGACCAATGAGATGGCAGCTTTAGAGGAGAGGGCGAGAACAAAGTCTGAAGAGGCCAATCAGGTAAAGATACTAGGTGTGTTCGACTTCATGCAGTGCTGCGCAGACCGATCGGCGGCTGACTTGAAGCAGTGCATGCCAGTTAGAAATTTTGTCCGAAATTTTGCGCCAACGCCACGTCACTGTGACGTATAGCATCAAAGTACTGGCCGAATTCACCACATGACAACGATGACGTGTGTTGCATATTTATTCTGACACCTTCAACTCCACTAATGCTCACAAATCTGTGTTTTTATAACAGTAAAAGCTCTTTTACTGTAGTCGCAATGTTATATTGAGTCATGTTTATCAAAAAACGCTGATAAAAGTATATATTGACCCACTTAGTATAGGCTTATGTTGAGCTTTATTCTTGTACAGATGGCGCTGCATTAAACAGTACATGAAAACGTCTCTGAAACGTCTGTGTATTTGTCAAATATTGCATTTAATTCTCTTCATCTGTGATAAAGCATGCAAACACTGTCACTACACGAAAGTGTCCGACTTCACGACTTCGCTTTCAATTCTGTCCCCGACTGCAAGCAGCAACTCTCGCCGATCGGTCTGCACAGCGCCGCATGAAGTCGAACACACCTACTGATTTGTACATTATCTTTGTCATATTGATAAATATAATTATGAGAGTGTTCACTTTGTTCTCTTCTCCAAGACAATCGGTCTGCTTCAGAGTGACAAAGAGAAACTTACTGAGGCGAATAAGGCTTTGGAGCAGAAACTGAAAGAGACGACCCTGCAGATGCAAGGTGATGAGTGAACTGCCTTTAAAACAGTGATAATGAAGAGTGTGACTGTAACTTATGAAACATTTGTTTTCCAGATCAATTTGAGGATGTAAAGAGAAAACTGATGGAGGATTTAGAAAGAGAGGAGAGATTCAGAAAGTAAGAGTGTTTTGTAAAAGAATAGTTCACCCAAAAATCATTTACGCACTCTCATATCTTTCCAAACATGAGTTGAATGTGGAACTCAAAAGAAGTTGTTCAGCAGAATGTCCAAACTGCTCATATTATGAAAGTGGATGGTGACCATGTCAAGCACCATAAAAACCAGCATGAAGCCAACATAAAAGTAGTCTAAAAGTGGTCCAAAAGCTGCATGATAGCTTTGTGAGGAACAGACCTGACTTTGAGTTGTTTACACTGAAAATTAAAGCTTGGACATTTCTCATTTTCTTTTATTAGGCTATCAATCAGAGCTTTGTCTAAACGCGTTTGTGCTAAATCCGTTCTCTGTTCTGTCAGGGTGGCGGAGCACAACAGTGAACTCCAGAAGGAAGACTCGGATAAAGAGATCGTAGTACTGAAAGAGGAAAGCCGTAGACTGAGAGAGGAGCGAATCAGGCTCCAGACGCAAGTGGAGGAGGACGAGAAGATCAATGCAGAACTGCAGGAACAAGTGCTGCAGCTCACCAAACACGTCAAGGTGAAGCACACCTCTAACTCTTCCTTTTTCTTGTTTCTTACATTTTTCCCAAGTTTAAGAACAAGTACATATGGCAGTTTAATTATAGTGCTTGCAAGGCACTTACAGTAGACCGAAGCCTAACATGAAGGATGACCATGCAAAAATAATAAATAAATACATTTGTGCATGAATATATAAATAAAAAAGAAATTATTAAATGTATGAGATTTACAAATAATCCATTAAATCAATCAATGCAAAAAAAAAAATCAATGCAATATAAATCAAATGGTTGGGGAAATGCAAAAAAGTTCAAATAAATGTAAAATTGAAAGTTCATTTTAAATTATGTATTTTAATTTTTATTTAGATATCTTAACTTTTAAAACTTCTATCATTTTTAATCTCTAATATTTTTTAATTCTTCATATTTGTCCTTGTACATTTGATTATTTCATATTTGATTATTTGTTTACAAACACACACACACACACACACACACACACACATATATATATATATTTTTTTGTATGCATTTATTTAGCATTTTTGCGTTTTGTCCTCCAGATCCTAAAACCCGAACTAAAAAAGCTATAACTTTATTCTTTTGCCAACTCTGAAGCACTTGTTAGCACTTCTGCAAATGACTGAAAAAGACTTTTACTATTATTATTTTTTTTTTTTTTTCAATTTGAAGGTCATACCAGATTTACGGAAAGAAATCAACAGCCTGCAGATGCAGCGAGCTGAAGCTGATAAAACCACGAGAGCTCAGAATCTACAAGCCAGGGGTATAAAACATGCTGCCATGGACTGTCGGACTGTCTTGTATGAATGACTCGTCTAAGGGCATCTTTATCCATTTTTACGCCCTCAGCTAAGATGAGTTTGATCACGAGATCACGAGATGGTGAAGCTAAAGAGGAAATTCTCATCCAAAGGTGTGCACAAATATTGGGAGCATCAGTGCTGATTGTCATTTGGCACAGTTTTCATTTGCTTTAATCAAGTTGTCTCTTTTACTTCAGACTTAATGAAGAAGCCTTAAATAATGATGATGGAGCTGATCTTCTCACTGCTTTTGACTCAATGGAGAAAGCTGCTAAGTATGACCTCTAAAGGTTTGTCATTTAATCCATAGTGTTTATTTTTGCATCAAATTGTCTGTCCTTTTATCTCAGGGTGATGGAAACTCAGCTGCGGGAGCAAAAGGACACTTGTAAGAGTCAGCAGGAAGCTCTGGTCTTCAAAAACGAACATTTAAACAAAGAGAACGAGCAGCTTCAAGCTCTCTTTCAGGAGAAGAGCAACGTCAACCAAAGCATCGGACAGGAAGTGGCCCGTCTCTCTGCTGAGAACATGGTAGAGCTTGTATTTATGTACAGTAGACTGTATGTTTGTTTGCATAGTTTGATGTCAGCTGGTGATGATGGTGACTTCCTGTGTGCAGGTGATTCCAGAACTGAAGCAGCAGGTGCCAGAATTCAACCGCCACAAACAAGAGCTTTAGAACCGGTTAAGATCAGAGCGCTGAGCCAAACACATCTGAATTAGACTAGATTATAAACATGAAAAAAATATTTTGGATAGATACTGGCAACAGGATATGATGTTACACTCCAGGGCTTCTGTTTTAAATACACTACTAGTTTGGAAGAATAAAAATTTTTGAGAGAAGTCTCTTCTGCTCACTAAGGCTGCATTTATTTCAGCAAAAATACAGTAAAAGCAGTCATATTGTGAAATAGTGTTTTCTATTTAAATATGTTATCAAATGTAATTTATTTAAAAGTTGAATTTTCAGCAGCCATTTTTTTTAAATATTAATATTTTGTAACATTATAAATGTATTTTCTGTCACTTTTAATTAATTTAATGCGTCTTTGCAGAATAAAAGAATTAATTTCTTTTTTAGTTAATTTTTATTTAGATATCTTAACTTTTAAAACTTCTATCATTTTTAATCTCTAATATTTTTTAATTCTTCATATTTGTCCTTGTACATTTGATTATTTCATATTTGATTATTTGTTTACAAACACACACACACACACACACACACACACACATATATATATATATATATATATATATACTGTATATATTTTTTATTTTTACATTTGATTATTTATATTCATTTTGTTTGTTTTTTTTGTATGCATTTATTTAGCATTTTTGCGTTTTGTCCTCCAGATCCTAAAACCCGAACTAAAAAAGCTATAACTTTATTCTTTTGCCAACTCTGAAGCACTTGTTAGCACTTCTGCAAATGACTGAAAAAGACTTTTACTATTATTATTTTTTTTTTTTTTTCAATTTGAAGGTCATACCAGATTTACGGAAAGAAATCAACAGCCTGCAGATGCAGCGAGCTGAAGCTGATAAAACCACGAGAGCTCAGAATCTACAAGCCAGGGGTATAAAACATGCTGCCATGGACTGTCTTTACATTATGTATGAATGACTCGTCTAAGGGCATCTTTATCCATTTTTACGCCCTCAGCTAAGATGAGTTTGATCACGAGACAGCTGCTTGGTGAAGCTAAAGAGGAAATTCTCATCCAAAGGTGTGCACAAATATTGGGAGCATCAGTGCTGATTGTCATTTGGCACAGTTTTCATTTGCTTTAATCAAGTTGTCTCTTTTACTTCAGACTTAATGAAGAAGCCTTAAATAATGATGATGGAGCTGATCTTCTCACTGCTTTTGACTCAATGGAGAAAGCTGCTAAGTATGACCTCTAAAGGTTTGTCATTTAATCCATAGTGTTTATTTTTGCATCAAATTGTCTGTCCTTTTATCTCAGGGTGATGGAAACTCAGCTGCGGGAGCAAAAGGACACTTGTAAGAGTCAGCAGGAAGCTCTGGTCTTCAAAAACGAACATTTAAACAAAGAGAACGAGCAGCTTCAAGCTCTCTTTCAGGAGAAGAGCAACGTCAACCAAAGCATCGGACAGGAAGTGGCCCGTCTCTCTGCTGAGAACATGGTAGAGCTTGTATTTATGTACAGTAGACTGTATGTTTGTTTGCATAGTTTGATGTCAGCTGGTGATGATGGTGACTTCCTGTGTGCAGGTGATTCCAGAACTGAAGCAGCAGGTGTCAGAATTGAACCGCCACAAACAAGAGCTTGAGACCCAGTTACAAGATCAGAGCGCTGAGATGAGCGGTGAGCCAAACACATCTGAATTGGACTACATTTTAAGCATGCTAAACTATTTTGGATAGATATGGGCAACAGGATATGATGTCACACTCCAGGGCTTCTGTTTTAAATACACTACTTGTTAGACGTTTGGAATAAATACAATTTTTTAATGCTTCTGAAAGAAGTCTCTTATGCTCACGAAGGCTGCATTTATTTGATCAAAAATACTGTAAAATAGTCATATTGTTAAGTGTTATTACCATTTAAAATAACAGTTTCCTATTTAAATATATGATATAAAATTTGTTTATGTGGTAACAAAGTTGAATTTTCAGCAGCCAGTTATTTGAAGTAGAAATATTTTGTAATATTATAAATGTCTTTTCTGTCACTTTTGATCAATTTAATGCGTCTTTGCAGAATAAAAGAATTAATTTCTTTTTTTAGTCTTACCTACTCCAAACTATTGGAAGTGTATCATGTGTTTTACAAATATATAAAGCAGCACTGTTTTCAACATTAATGCTGCTGAAAATTCAGCTTTGCATCACATGAATGAATAATTTTGCAATATATTCAAATTAAAAACAGTTCTTTTAAATTGTAATAATATTTCACAATATTACTGTTTTTACTGTGTTTTGATCAAATAAATGGAGCATTGGTGAGACTTAAAAATTTTTTTTTTATAAATAAATCTTAATTATTCAAACTTAAGTAGTGTATTTGAATAAATAATGTTAAATTCAAAATGGTATCTGGTTGGATTTTTTCACTCGAGGTAGGACCAATTATGATCATGTTTGAACTTCTTAAATTGTATGTGGCAGCAAAAATAAAGGAGTTATCAAACAAGCTTCAGCTCACTGTTGAAGAGGAGCAATCGCAGCGCAGGTGAGGCGTTTATTACCCTCAGACTATATTTACACTACAGACTGTGGCACGAGGCTGAAGGCGCAGGTGTTGTGCATCTGTTCATAGGCACCTAGAGGAGAAGATAACAGAGAGCGAGAGGAGAAGAGAAGAGATGGAGAGACAGATGGCTGACCTCCAGGAGGAGAATGAGCAGCTACAGAAAGCCCAGCTCTCAGAGAGTGAAGCCAAGAACAAACTCAGACAGGAGACATCCCATCTCACAGCTGAGAATATGGTGTGTGTGAAAGGGCACGCTCATGATTACATTTGCATTTATATGGATTCATTTCTACAAAGCAACTTAGACATAAAGACAAATACATGCATAATAAATATATGCACGCCTCAAAGCAAACATAATGCAATATAAAACATAAATAAATGGTTGGAGATATGCAAAAATGTTAAAGAAAATGCAAAATTGAAAGCTAAATTTTTAATAAATAATATATTGTTTATTCAATATATTTTAGTATATATTAATAGTTAATATAAGCTTATATTTCATATATAACATGCTTAATATATTTTATAATATACTTAGACTTACTATTTAAAATGTATTATACGTTATTTAGAATTTACTTATATATGATATAATTATGCATGAATATGCAGAATAATTAATTTATGTAAAACTTTGACTGTTAGTTGTCCTCCTAAATATTAATATTATCCTCCTTAATGTTATACAATTATAATATACTTACACTTAATATTATATAACTTATTTCTAACGTATTTAATTTAGATTTATTTATTAATTTATGCATTTATTTATTTGTTTATTTTAAAACTAGACTCTTAGTGGCACCAGAATCAGTGCCCTCCTGATAGACATTTAGGTCTTGCGGTCCAAAAAGTCAATATGTTAATATTAATCTAATTTGTAAGATCATTTTCTTCTGGTTCCAGGACTTTGAGGAGCAGCTAGACATGAAGGACAGACTGATAAAACGACTCCAAGACCAAATCAAAGCAATTCATACACATGCGACAGGTACAACGCTTTCCATTCATCTGATTTTATATTTAGCCAATCCGGTCTCATCCTCTCCATGTTTTGTATCCTCATCAGCCAATCAGAAAGCAGCGCCGGCTGTGCCCAAAGAGTATTTGGGCATGTTGGAGTACAAGAAGGAGAATGAAAGCAGGCTGATCCGGACGCTTATACTGGGTAAACCCATCACTAAAGCATGTGTACGTCCAACGCACAAATAACTCATAATTTACTGAGTGGTTTGTAATCTGCAGAGCTGAAACCTCGCGGTGTGGGTGTGCTAATGATCCCTGGTCTGGCTGCACATCTCCTCTTCATGTGTGTGAGACACGCTGATTACCTCAATGACGGAAACAAACTCAAGTCCCTCATGAACGGCATCATCTCAGCCATCAAAGAGGTCATCACGGTAAGACGCTGTGCATGCTGGACCGACGGCCCTCTGAATGTGTACTGTATGTGGCTCTTTTATCTTTTCAGAGAATCTGCAAGACCTTAGTTATATTCTGGAATATGTAAAGATTCTGTTCTTTCTGGATGTTTTTGACAGATGTGGATTTTTATATGATTTGGTTGTGTTTTTAATTAGGGTTATTCTCAGCTTTTAATGCAGATACTTTTTGTATGGGTGAATTCTCATTATTATAATGCAAAATCTCCTTGTCATAAAATAAAAAAAATATTAATAAAATTTAAATAGATAAAAAAAATATTGAATATTTGTATTAATATAATAAAATATATATAATAATAATTATATATATATATATATATATATATATTACAAATTGTCATCATAGCATTTGTTGTATTGCTTTTAATGCTGATTATAGCATATATTTTACATATTAATATCATATAATAATATTAATAAGTTGAATAACAATAAATATATACAAAATAAAAACTGCAATGTGTGTGTGTGTGTGTGTATATACAGTGGGTACGGAAAGTATTCAGACCCCCTTAAATTTTTCACTCTTTGTTATATTGCAGCCATTTGCTAAAATCATTTAAGTTAATTTTTTTTCCTCATTAATGTACACACAGCACCCCATATTGACAGAAAAACACAGAATTGTTGACATTTTTGCAGATTTATTAAAAAAGAAAAACTGAAATATCACATGGTCCTAAGTATTCAGACCCTTTGCTCAGTATTTAGTAGAAGCACCCTTTTGATCGAATACAGCCATGAGTCTTTTTGGGAAAGAGGCAACAAGTTTTTCACACCTGGATTTAGGGATCCTCTGCCATTCCTCCTTGCAGAGCCTCTCCAGTTCTGTCAGGTTGGATAGTAAACGTTGGTGGACAGCCATTTTTAGAGACATACCTCTCTCACCAAGGCTCTTCTCCCCAGATAGCTCAGTTTGGCCGGACGGCCAGCACTAGGAAGGGTTCTGGTCATCCCAAACATCTTCCATTTAAGGATTATGGAGGCCACTGTGCTCTTAGGAACCTTAAGTGCAGCAGAAAGTTTTTTGTAACCTTGGCCAGATCTGTGCCTTGCCACAATTCTGTCTCTGAGCTCTTCAGGCAGTTCCTGTGACCTCATGATTCTCATTTGCTCTGACATGCACTATGAGCTGTAAGGTCTTATATAGACAGGAGTGTGGCTTTCCTAATCAAGTCCAATCAGTATAATCAAACACAACTGGACTCAAATGAAGGTGTAGAACCATCTCAAGGATGATCAGAAGAAATGGACAGCACCTGAGTTAAATATATGAGTGTCACAGCAAAGGGTCTGAATACTTAGGACCATGTGATATTTCAGTTTTTCTTTTTTAATAAATCTGCAAAAATGTCAACAATTCTGTGTTTTTCTGTCAATATGGGGTGCTGTGTGTACATTAATGAGGAAAAAAAATTAACTTAAATGATTTTAACAAATGGCTGCAATATAACAAAGAGTGAAAAATGTAAGGGGGTCTGAATACTTCCCGTACCCACTGTATATATATAACAAAGGCTACATCAGTAACACACTGCGCTGCCAGGGACTCAAATCCTGCAGTGCCAGACGTGTCCCCCTGCTTAAGCCAGTACATGTCCAGGCTTGTCTGAAGTTTGCTAGAGAGCATTTGGATGATCCAGAAGAGGATTGGGAGAATGTCATATGGTCAGATGAAACCAAAATATAACTTTTTGGTAAAAACTCAACTTGTCGTGTTTGGAGGAGAAAGAATGCTGAGTTGCATCCAAAGAACACCATACCTACTGTGAAGCATGGGGGTGGAAACATCATGCTTTGGGGCTGTTTTTCTGCAAAGGGACCAGGACGACTGATCTGTGTAAACGAAAGAATGAATGGGGCCATGTATCGTGAGATTTTGAGTGAAAACCTCCTTCCATCAGCAGGGGCATTGAAGATGAAATGTGGCTGGGTCTTTCAGCATGACAATGATCCCAAACACACTGCCCGGGCAACGAAGGAGTGGCTTCGTAAGAAGCATTTCCAGGTCCTGGAGTGGCCTAGCCAGTCTCTAGATCTCAACCCCATAGAAAATCTTTGGAGGGAGTTGAAAATCCGTGTTGCCCAGTGACAGCCCCAAAACATTACTGCTCTAGAGGAGATCTGGATGGAGGAATGGGCCAAAATACCAGCAACAGTGTGTGACAACCTTGTGAAGACTTACAGAAAACGTTTGACCTCTGTCATTGCCACCAAAGGGTATATAACAAAGTATTGAGATGAAATTTTGTTATTGACCAAATACTTATTTTCCACCATAATTTGCAAATTAATTCTTTAAAAATCCTACAATGTGATTTTCTGGATTTTTTTTTTCTCATTTTGTCTCTCATAGTTGAGGTATACCTATGATGAAAATTACAGGCCTCTCTCATCTTTTTAAGTGGGAGAACTTGCACAATTGGTGGCTGACTAAATACTTTTTTTCCCCACTGTATATATATATATATATATTACAAATTGTCATCATAGCATTTGTTGTATTGCCTTTAATGCTGATTATAGCATATATTTTACATATTAATATCATATAATAATATTAATAAGTTGAATAACAATAAATATATACAAAATAAAAACTGCAATGTGTGTGTATATATATATATATATATATAAACATGCTAATGTTTATTGTATTATTTTTAATACAAGGATTTGATTTAAATATACATATATATTATTAATACAGCAGTGCAATAAATATTAAAATAATAATAAATACAGTAATAAAATAAATTAGTATAAAATATAATGTCACTGCAAAAGTATAATAGTTGTAAACATGCTTAAGTTTCTTTAAGCAAAATGTAATTTTCTTTTGATTATAAATGAAGTAAATATGAATGAATTCTGTCACACATTGTATTATGTCCTGAATTCGAGCAAACTAATGTAATTAGTTTTAATTAATCACACAATCACATCTGAATACAGCCAACCTGCAGAATCCTCTGAGATGTGGTTAAAACACCCACAGAGCTACGCTTTGCTGCTGCACGTCACTTTATGATGATGATTATGATGACTATGATTTCAGAACCAACAGGAGAGTTTTGAAGTTCTGTCCTTCTGGCTCTCAAACACATATCACTTCCTCAACTGTCTCAAACAGTACAGCGGAGATGAGGTAAAGTCCTTTTCTGTGTCTCTCTACTCCCTTCCACTATTAAAGGGGTCCTATTATGCTTTTTCAACTTTAGTTAGTCTGTAATGTTGCTGTTTGAGCAAAAAAAAGATCTGCAAAGTTACAAAGCTCAAAGTCCATTTCAAAAGGAGATATTTTATTTAACGGAAATCACTTTTCAAAAACTACAACCAATGACTACAACGCATAATTTTCGGGATTTGCGATATCACAAATATCGGTGAATGGGACGAGACCTGGTTGAGCTGCACTAGAGAAGGCAACGAGTGTTATCACTATGTCAGAGACACGCTAGCTTTCCCAAGGCAGACGAACTTAGAGTGGTTACAATCATCCAGGTTTAAATCGCGCTCAAATTGATTTGATATTGACGCAATATTTACACTGAAGCT